ATATATAGTAAGAATACAATAACAAATAGTCATATATCTTTACAGATATTTGATTTTGAAAGAAAAATTTTGGATTTATATTTCTAATCTAAACCTTTATAAATCATTACACACTCTTTAATTTTCAATTTATAAAAATTTAAGATTAAAAGTTTTAACTTTTTTAATTTTAATGTTTATAACTGTAACTAAAAATGTTGAATTTTGAATTCAAAAATTATATACAAAAAACATAGAAAAATGAAGCGTCCTTTAATATAAAGCACGAATGACAATAGGTGTATTCTTTTGGCTCTTAAGCAACCTGTATTTATTCTATTGGAGCATTCATGTGAAAAGAATACACCTAATATGGCATTCTAATTCAACCTAACTCCTTTGGCTTAATAATCTTAATAAAATTAATTTTATAATAAAAAGGAATTATATATTTCTTTTCTGCTTACTAAAAGTAATTATTCTATAGTAAATTTAAACTTTTTTATATAATAAATCAATTAATGTATTTGCAAGTACCACAAAAAATTATTTCAAATAAATCAAAAAGTTTTGTAATCTTTTCAAATTCTAAACAAATTGGCTTTTTTATATTTATAAGTTTATATGGAAAATAAAATGTAAGCTTTTAAAACATTTTCTATAACAAAAATAGAACACATGAAAGAAATACTTCAAAAATATAAATATTTTGGGATGCTCTCATTTGCACTCTCAAAATGCAATATGAAAATTTCGAAATACATATATACAGTTAAAATGTTTATATAGTAGGAGCAATACTTAAAAATATAGGTCATTTATTTTTAAAAATTTGTTGTATATTTCAAATGATCAAATTTTTATGAAATTCGATGTACCTTAAGCATAACATTCAGAACTTGAGTTTGGCGCCTCATTTTTAAATGCTGTTCGCATTACCAAATAAAGTAAGAAGAAACTAACTGCTTCAATAGAATCATATGCAAAAGTGCAATTTTAAATAAGATAAATAATTTTGATCATAAGTATATACCTATATATTTCGAGGACAACTTATATTTATTAAGTATGAATACATGTTTTTTTTAATAATACTATATTTTGCATTTGCACTTATGTATCTGGCGCATATCAAACTTTGGCTATGCACTTATTATAAAATTAATGCGTTAAGGAAAAATATGTAAAATAATGTAAATGCCAAATCATATGATCTACATCTCAACATCCCAAATTATATGATCGAAATAATATCTCAACATTTATATAATGGACAGAAATAAAAAATAATAAATTCACAAAAATTAATTTCAATGAATTTGCACATTGTATTGTATCAAATATTTAAATTTTTTAATTTTTTAATTATTTTAGCAACAAAATATATATTTTAATCAAGGATATTTTTAAATTCACATCAAATTTTAATTAAAACAATTAATTAAATTTCTGCATAAGACTACAATAGTTAACGATGTGTATTGTTTTGCTATACGACAACGACTTTCGCACTATTCCTTCAATAGATAATTTGCTCAATGCACAATATAAATCAGCAGAGATAAGATATTACCAACGCTGTTGAAATGTTATTGTAAAATGCTGATAAAATAAAGAGTTCTTACTAGTTATTAAACCAAAAGTCTTATTTTATTCAAGATTAAAATATTATTTAACTGAATGTTAAAATGTATTTAGTAGAGGCTGCAACTCAAAACAAACACGATAGCATCAACAATGGTCCCTACTCGACTTTAGGATATGTTGTAATTTAAACTAGATTGCAAAGAACAATACACACATATTATTTGGAAGGAAATGCTTATAAACTCATCATGATGCCTGTTATAGGAACTTTTAGATTTCCCGAAATACAAAAACCTGGTTTCTGCAGGCAGAAAGTAAAACGTTATATTTTATTCTAACCAATACATCACAATCTTTAAAAAAATTCAAGTGATTAGATACCAGTTAATAGAAACATAAGTATATATTTTTAGGTAGATCTAACAGAAACAATTATTGATGCAGTTTCATGCGAGAAAGCAGTAGGATATACTTAATATAAATAAAATATATCACGTTTTGCCTTCATCATTATTATGTAGTTTAGTTTCCTATTATATATTGTATATTAAGTATAAATATATTTATATTTCACTTTTTTAAAAACTCTTTCATTTTACGTAAAAAGTGTTCGGAGTTATTGAATAAACCGTAAGACAGTCCTGATTTGGACAACAGCGTTTGACCCAATTCTAGAAATTTTTTTTAGTCTGCTTGAGGTTTTTTCTTCAAGGCAATTGAAAACACTTTCGATGTTGTAACTTAAGTTTCTGGAACAGAAAAAATCACACGTAGCCATATCAAATGAATATTGTATTTCGTCGGTCATATTTATTCAGTTTCTTTTTGCCAAAAAATTTTGCACAACGATGGGTTTGACCAATCGCAGAACATTTAAATATGTAAACCCAATAATATATAATCATACTAAATTGAGTAGAAGATCGCAGTTATATTGGTACGGTGCTAGTAATTTACAGAAAAAAATTTGAATTTTCACTCGTGATATATAAATTAAACATTCCTGATACTTTTTATATAATATGATGTCCCACCCAACTCTGAAAGTGTATAATATGTAAATAAAAACACCCATATTTCTTCTCTTCAATTATTTCTTCATATCAAACCTAATAAAAAAATTAGCTGGAAACAATTTTGGTATATTTTCAATGTATAATAGATTATGTGTAGATTTTACTAAAATAATATAAACAAATAAATAGTGTAACTTTTAATAAAGTAAAGTAAAACAGGAAGAAAAGTTGTTTGTTGCAACTATTTCATATGTTACATTGATACATAAAGTTTTAAGTAGTTACCTTATAGTCAGAAACTCTACTATTATCTAAAAAAAAATTAAAAGAACTCATTCCTTTTACTAATACACTATTTCTAGAATAAAAATTAATTACTACTTTTACTTTTTTTTTATATATGGTAAACATATTCATATACTTCAATATAATGTTTGTTTATTAATTCCACATATTTAATTTTTTTAATTAAAAAATTCCTATAAAAATAAACCACAAGAATCCTAGAAAAGAATATGAAAAGTTTTTGAAAAAATTAAAAACTAATAAACTTTCTTATTATAATGCTTTTAATAGAATAAACAAAATCTATTACTAAACGAGCGTGGGTAGAAAAAATATTTTTTTTAATAATGTTAGTTTTGTTTTTTTATTAAGTATGCCGAGACTAACTTTCACCTTTTAGTAGATTTTTTGCACAGTACTTATGCACTCCCCAATATCTATTAATACTTATTTTGAGATATTAGTTAATAAATTCATATAAATTAGACATTCTGTTTTCAATTTTTTATATATAATATATGTAAAAGTATACTTAAAATCACGATAAATTTTGTTGAATAAATTCTTGTTGACTTGTGATTTTATTTAATTAATTTTTTAGAATAAACAATGCTAATATTGAAAACAATAAATAAATTTATTTATTTACCGAACTATTTTTAGAAGCAAAAAAAACCTAATAGAAAATATATAAGTTTAAAATTCAGTTTTTATAATCCACACAAGGCCAGTTGGAAATAATTTTAAATTAATTAAAAAAACATGAAAAATTAACGTCCTTGGATGTGCCAGATATTTGGTTATTTTTCAATATTAATTCAAGTTCAGTCAAGTTTAAGGTTTTTATTTTGAATTTTTTTTTATTTTAAAATTGTATGTATGTTTTATAAATTATATATAAGTATATATGACGAAAAACATTTTATTGATATTAATAAAAAAAATTCAAACATAATGTTAATACTTATTATGAACTCAATTCATACTTATTATTAATAGATATAGAAGAGATCTTATTATCAGAAGACCAGAAAATATGAAAAAAAATAATGATAATATTCTGTCCGATTAAAAAGAATATATAAAGAATATATAATGCAACTACGGTCAGACTTTTCACATCAAACTGATTATTAGATATTGAAATATAGGATAACATACATAAGTTATTTAAATCAAGAACACCAAATTATTGAATATGTAAAACACCTATCATTATAATAAAACTGATTTAAAATTTATTGTAATTGTTCAAATTTAAACATATATCTGCTCGCCATATACATTAAAATACCAAAATATGATTATTTATATATTAATTATTTTATCATTTTTATTAAATCTCCTGTAAACGACATTTTTAAGATCATGCTGTTTCTTGATCTTTACGGGTTTTTTCCATAAATTAAAGTACTATATAGCATTAACACTGGCCTCAAATGATTGATTTGGGTCAAAAATCACAAATGAAAAGCAAATGACTAATTTCTGCATACAAAATCTCATATGCGCAAATGAGATTACACCGGCGCCATGGATCTCATTTTGTACAAATGAGTCCCAACGGGTTTCAAATAAGTTCCAAATGCAAATGAATACATTAAACACATCCTAAATAATATCACAGATGGTCCGCGAAACACCCGTTGGGACCCATTGATTTAAATAGTGGCGACAAACAAGGATATGTTATGCAAAAAAAAGGACTGTCTGCCTGTGAAAAAACTCAAGCTAATTAAGAAATAACATTTTCAAACTGTTAAATCTGTAAGATTTAGAACGAAATTAAGCAAAATAAACTGAGTTGAACATTTGATATGATAGCGTAAGATGTTTTGTAATCAGTAGTAATATAAAAAAAATATTACTAATTTTTTTTTATTTTTATGTAAATAACATATATAATAGCACAATTATATTATATTAAAAACTAATCATTATGCAAAATTTAAAAGTACAAGGCCTTTAACTTACATAAATATTGCTTGCTATATGTCATAGTTTTTCAAAAAAAAATTTTAAATAAATACGAGTATAATTATATTATGCTTTAAATAATAAATATTTATTGACCAAAATGCAATTATATGATTTATATATTATTTTATTAATCTTTTCTTAATCATATTTTAGAACGACGTATCTCGGCTTATCAATTGCGTACGATTGATTCTGTCGAAGAAACTTCATCGTCTGGTAAGGAAGATAGCTCACCCGAGTCACCGGAACAACAACAACAACAACAGCCACCACAATATGGTCAATATTTGGATCTAAATGGACAAGCTCCACATCAAGGTCGCTCTCGAACGAAAAAGACAAAAATACGCAGTAAATCCCTGCAGCCACAATCCAATATTGTCCCATGGCGTAAATCATCACGCCCAAGACGTGGACGTTCATTAGACAAATCACCATTTTTACCTGGTTTTAAACCTGAACCTGTTAAGTCATGGACCGAAGAACCAATTAGTTTAAAACCTGCAGCTATTGAAAAGAAGGTAATACCAAAAATGGAAGCTGCTAAGATTGTTTTGAAATCAATAAAAAGTGAGCGTGATCATGGATTGATGAGCATCGGCGCAACGTTAGATAAAATAATAGCTGGTAAATCAGAGAAAGAAGCCATTCCATGGATAACGATGCGTGATAAACTTAAGAAAGTCGAGAGTGTTCAACATCAGTTAGATGAGTTTGATTTGGATGAAGTGTACTTGCGACCTTTGGAACAGCCAATTGAAACTGAACCGCAAGAACCAAAACAAGCCAAGATCGAGCAAACAAAACGTGACAAAGAAATTCAACGATTGAAGAGTATGGAAAGTATTGAAATTATGGAAATGACTGAACAAATGAATAAGTTGATTACTCAACACCAGAAGGAAGAAACCATACCTTGGAAAGAAATGCGCCAACATTTAAAAAGTGTAGAACGTGTTCACAAACAAATTGAAAAGTTCAAAATAGAAGAAGTCGAACTACGTCATTTGAAAGCAGAAGAAATTGTTCTTCAAGAAACTTCGACAACTACTGAAGACATGGTTATAATGCAAATTGATGACACATCAAAGGGATCAATTGAAAAGGTTTTACGACGAGAAGATCTCTTGAAATATGATGACGCACTAAATGTTAATAAACAACAATTTATCACAACAGAAGATATAAATATGTTAAATGTTGCAGAACGTGAAAAAATTGAAGCACAGCGTCTTATTAGGGAGCAACAAGCAATAAACTGGCGTCAAAACCGCATTGCACCTAAATTACAATCCATGCAATCTGTACAGGATACAGTTGGTATGGATAATATTATACGAGAGGAGCAAAATGTGGAACGCCAACAATTTGTAAGTATTGAAGATAGAAAGATGATGCATATGCAACAACATGAACATCTGAAAACCGTCACTCAAAAAACACACGATGAACAAGCTATGAATTGGCGACATCCAAGACATCCTCAACAGTACCAACAATTAGATGAATCTACAATTTTGTCTGTTCAAGAACGTGAGGACTTGAATGATGAACAACTAGTACAACCGACACCCGTTTTGTGGGAAAGAGGTAAAACTAAGCCACAGAAGCCAGAATTTGCACAGCCTGAATCACAAAAGCCAGTCACAGAATATCAAGACATACCTAAAACATATGAAGAAGTTCATGATGAACTTACTGAAACAGTATATCAACAGCCAAAGGAACAACCAATGCCAGTAATGTGGGAACGTGGTAAAAAGCAAGTCATAGCACAAGAAATAAATGACATACAAGAAGTGAAAACGCAGGTAGAACAAGTTGTAGAAGAAACAAAGAAAGTTGCCACACGCAGAGTTATACAACCTGAGCCAGAGCAAAAAATGGAACAGGTGGTACTCAAACCAATACCTAGGCAAAAACCAAAACCAGTGCAAAAAGAAGAGGAAGTAATTATTAAACCTGCAAAAACCATAATTGCTGCTCAATCTGAGGAAACACAACCAACAAAAGCATATGAAGAAGCAATCGATACACTTGAAGAACAAACTCCTTCAAAAATAGAAAATATTGCACCTGTTATGTGGGAGCGTGGTAAAAAGAAACCAATAATCGTTAAGGAAACAGTGGAGGAAAAACCGGCTAAAGTATTTGAGGAAGAAGTCGATATACTTCCAGAGCAATTACCTGTAGCAGAAAAAGAAGATTTACAACCAGTTTTGTGGCAAAGAGGTCAAAAGAAAGTACAGAAACCTACTAAAGAAGATATTACCGAAGTTCCTGTAAATACATATGAAGAAGCCTTTGATGAGTTAATAGAAGAACCAGTACAACAAAAACCGGAAGAACCAACTCCAGTTATGTGGGAACGCGGTAAGAAAACGTCAGTAAAACTAGAAAAAACTGAAAAAATTGAAAGTACAAATGCTGAACAGTTGATAGAGGTACAGCAAAAGAAGGTTACCCGTAAAATTATTCCACATGAGCCAGAACAAAAGATGGAACAAGTGGTACTTAAGCCAATACCAAGACAAAAACGAGTAGAAGCGCCAAAGCCTGAGGAAGTGGAACTCAAGCCTGCTGAAAAACCAAAACCTGTTAAAGAAATTGAGGAAATTAAACCAACAAAATCATATGAAGAAGAGATTGACGAACTAACTGAAGAAGTTTTGCAAAAACCTCAAAATGACTTACAACCTATATTATGGGAACGTGGAAAGAAAAAACCAATTGAGCAAAAGGTTGAAGAAATAGAACAAGATGAAGAACAGGAAGCAGTTCTAAATATTCAGGAAGAAAATATAGTTAAAGAAGATGAAATTCTTAAAATTAAGAAAGTAAAAAAATCGAAGAAGAAGCATGTTGGAGAAAACCTAGAGAAATATGATGAAACCGAGGCAACTTCCACAATAGAAGAAATGCAACAGGTAGATGAAGTTAAAGAAATACCTACAAAAACATATGAAGAAGCCATTGACGAATTAAATGAAGAACCAGAGGTTGAGAAACCAGAACCAATAATGTGGAAACGAGGAAAGAAGATTACCAAACCGAAAAAAGAAGAAGAAGTAGCAGAAATACCAGTAGAAGAACCAATAAAAGAAGTAATAGAAGTTCCTCAGAAAACATTCGAAGAAGTTACCGATGAATTAAGTGAAGAACCTGTTATAGAGAAACCTGAACCAGTTATGTGGAAACGAGGAAAGAAAGTCACCAAACCGAAAAAAGAATTAGATGTTTCACCAGAAGTACCATTAGATGTGCCAGTAGAAGAACCAATCGAAGAAATAATAGAAACACCTCAGAAGTCACATGAGGAAGTCATTGATGAACTAAAAGATGAACCAGCCGTTGAGAAACCAGAACCAGTATTATGGAAACGAGGAAAGAAAAAGGTTCCTACACGTGAAGAAGTTCCAGTTTCAGAAATACAAGAAATAGAGGAAACTCCTGAAATAATAGAACAGAATGAAGAACAAATTAGTGAAGAAATTGTATTAGATAAAGCCCGTAAAACGAAAAAGGTAAAAATACCTAAAAAGCAACCTGTAGACAAAAAAGACGAAACTGTTGTTGAAGTCCTTGATGAAAGTGTAAATGATGTAGTTATGGATGAAGAAGTTAATCAACAAATAGTAGAAAAACCTCCAAAACCTGAAAAGAAAACCATTGTTCCTTTGGAACCTGAAACCGTAGAAAAAGTAGTTTTAAAACCAGTTCCTAGAAAGCAACTTCCCAAAGCTGAAGCAGAAAAAATAGAGGAAGTATCACTTAAGCCTGTCAAAAAGACAATAATAGAAAGTGACACTCCACAACCTGAACAAGTTGAAGAATCAGAAATTGTTGAAGATAATATAAAGCAAGAAAAAGTTACTACTCGCCGCAAGAAGAAAAAACAAAAACCAAAATCAGAGAAACAAGAATTGGAAGAAGAAGTTTTGGATGAACTTTCAGAAGATGAACCAAAAGAAATTAGTGAAATTTCAGAGGAAGAAGAACTAGTGATACCAACACCTAAAATAGAAGAAGAAACAGTTTCGGATTCTGTTGATGTAACAGAAAAACCTAAAGTCATTCAAAAACCTTTAAAGAAACCAATGCCAATTGAGGAGAAATTAGAAGAAGTAACACTGAAACCAGTTAAAAGACCAATTAAACAAATTCCTCAAGAAGAAATCATTGAAGAGGTACGTCTTAAACCTGTTAAACATGTTACACCTGTTCCAGAAGAGCAAAAATTGGAGGAAGTGATTTTGCAGCATGTAGAAAAGCTTGAAGAACAAGTTACTGTTGAAGAAAAGAAAAAAGTAAAGAAGGTGAAAAAACCAAAACCGGAAGAACTCCCTGAGATTCCAGATGCAGAACCTGTAGAATTAGAAAAGGCTGAACACATTGATTTAGAACGTAAGCCAATTGAAGAAGAAGAAACACCTAAAATGCCATACAAACGAGAAGAAAAACCAAAACCAATAGAAGAAAAAGTTGAAGAAAAACAATGGCCTACAGGACGGAGAAAACCCTTACCCGAGGAACAACCGGAAGAAGTCACTTTGAAGCCCATACCTGCAAAGCCTAAGGAAGAAAAACCTAAAGAAACTCCTCCAATTTCAGTACCAAAATTAACACCAGAGGAAAAGATGCCGTCAGAAGAAAAGGAGTTAGAAATTCAACCACCGATCATCAGTGATGAAAAACCTAAAGAACGATCAAAGAAAGAGAAAAAGAAGAAACCAAAACTTCAAAAAGCATCACCGTCTGTGGAAGAAATCTCAGAAGAAATTGCTGAACCATTTGCTGAACCTATAGCCGAGGAAGATCAAGTTGAAGAAATTCCAATCGACGAACTAAAAGAAGTGGCAATTTCAGAAGAAATTCAACCTGAAGAAGAAGTTATATCAAGTGAAGTACTACCCACAACTAAACAGAAGGCACTCAAAAAACGTACAAAACGGCTCAAGGAAGTTTCATTCGAAGAACAACCTCATCTTCTTGAATCAGCAGTCGCTGAGGAAGACGAAATTATCAAAGAAGATGTTTCAGAAGAGATCTCACAAAAGACTATTACATTAAAGAAGACTGAAGATACCAGACCGCAATTTATTACTACAGAGCAATTAATTGAATTAGATGTTGAAGATATTAGAAGAGACATAGAAATGAAAGTTACGTCAAATATAGTTAAAAAAGAAAAACGAAGAATTGTTATTGATGATAGTCAACCACTTCCAGAACTTGAGTTAATTACACAAAAACGTGTTCAAGAAGGCATTGATAAGGTGCCTGATGAGGACTTAATTGAAGACCAAATCTTACAAAATAAAGAAGAAACAACAAGTTCTGAAGTAATACAAGAAAAGAAGGTTGTGAAAAAGAAGAAGAAAGAAATAAAACCACCACGTATCACTGAGAAATTACGTCCTCGTCAATGCATTCCAGAGGAACCCACTGTTTTAGAATGTAAGGTTGAGGGTGTACCATTTCCTGAAATTAATTGGTACTTTAATGATATGCTGCTCTTCGCCTCTGAAAAGTACGAAATTTCTGTAGTAGAGCATGTAGCAAAACTAAAAATCGCTAAAGTTACACCTACCGATGTTGGAGTATATACCTGCGAAGCTCGTAATGAAGCCGGGGTGGCAACTACTCGTACAAATCTCGTTTTAGGTAAGTTCAAAATTTATATAAATTATTTATCGCAATTCCGATATTGTAAAAACCTAATAAGTATATTTTTTGGCACACCAAGATAAATATATATTATATAACCATATATGTTAATAAAATTTTTTTTTATTACTAATAACCTATTTCATTACCTTACAATTATAAGTTCGTTTTTAAATAAACTTTTGTATATTTACAATATTATTTACATTGACAAATTGTACAAACATATTATATACAGATAAAGAACAAGGCATTGCACCGCAATTTTCTAAACCACTGAAAATTGAATTTACTGAAGAAAAACAACCTGAACAGCTTAAGGTTACCGTAACATGTCAAGTGACAGGTCTGCCAAAACCAGCTGTTAAATGGTATCGAGGAATAGAAGAAGTTTTGCCAAGTGAAACAGTGCAAATGTTTTACAATGAAGAAACTGGCGATATTGCTTTGGAAATAATTAATCCAACTCCAAATGAAGCTGTCACTTATTCTGTGCAAGCACAAAACCAATACGGGCGTGCAATAGGCAATGCCAATATTTTAAGTCGTGTAGATGAGCCACTCAAAGAAATACTCAAGGCACCAACTGTAACGCCACTTAGTGCTCTTGTTGTACCACATGGTGGAACTTTGCTATTTGAAGCCACATACACTGGTTCTCCTAAGCCAGAAATTAAATGGATGCGTAATGGACGGGAAATAACAGTAAATGAGGATGTTACTATAGAAACCACTGAAACCACAACCATAATTAAAATCATTAATATGACTCGAAAACGAACTGGCAAATATGAAGTGTGTGCTAAAAACAAAATTGGAGAGGCTAAGGCATCAGGTTCAGTCGTTGTAACCGATCAAGCGCCAAACAAAGAAATAAAACCACCACGCTTTATACAACCATTACAACCAAAGTACTTTGGTGAAAATGAAGTTGCTATACTTGAAGCTATTGTGGAGTCCGAACCGTTATCCTCCTTCCAGTGGTTTGTACACACAGAACCAATAAAAAGTTCAACAGAATGTCGCATCGTGTCTCAAGCCAATAAATCGACGCTATTAATCAAAAACTTTGAAAAGAAATTCGTTGGACCATACACTTGCCGCGCTGAAAATGTTGGTGGTTCTGTTACTTCCACGGCAACTGTAAATCTTTTGGAAGAAAGTCCACAAGAAGAGGCTGTCGAATTTGAATCACCACGCTTCATAGAAGAACTAATACAACCCGTTTGTGTAATGGACGGTGAAGCATTATTGCTTACCTGTAAAGTTATTGGCAAGCCGATTCCAAAAGTTGAGTGGTATCATAATAATGAAAAAATTATTGAGACTAAAGAAACAACCATTGCTCAAGATAACGATGGTAATTGTGAACTACAAATTACTGAAGTATTTCCTGAGAATGATGGTGAATACAAATGTGTAGCTACAAATAAAATTGGTGAAACTCTAACAAAAACTACTGTTAACATACAAGGTACAAAACAAATTATGTATACAATCACAAATCTCAAACCAAAAATATGCACTATATTTCAATTGATTTAATGCTACACTGAAACTCTTTTCCACATTTAACATTGTAAATTTTATTTAAAGATTTTTTATATCTAAATCCGTTTGTGCTAACACTGTCTTGAAAGTTCACCAATCCTTACTGCTCGACTTATGTACTCTAGCTTTCAAATGACTAAAATCAAACGATTTTACTGATTGTATATTTAGTAGGAAACTATTTTGTTTTGAAATAAGAAATAATTCTAACTAATTTAGAATGGAAAAAAATTTTTTATACGTATAATATATAATTATATACAGAAGAATGTAAAAAAAAAATTGTAAAAAATAATAATACAAAATTACTATAACCAAACTAACAAAATATAATTATTTTTATTATTAAATTAATTGTAAAAATGTTATTTTAATATATAGAAAACTTTTATTACAGACAAGTAATTCTAATTATAAAATATTCAGCATGTTAAACAGCACGTATTTTATAAAATTCTTTTTTTAAATATTTATCTATATACGTATTTTAAGCATGCACAGTACATATGAATTTAAAATAATTTCCATATCTTGTAGCATTTGAATATATCCCCGATTCTGAAATCACTGGACTGACTGCTTCTGAGGAAGATATTTTAGATAAGGTAAAAAACTTTTTTTTTATTCATTTCTTTAAATATAGGGTTACCAATTAAACTGCAACCAACTTGAAACTGCCATAATTTTCAAACTGTTGACAATATTAACTGTCGCCTAACGATAGCTGACTTTATTATTTTCAAGACGTACGTAACCATTTACGCGTAGTTTTAGGAAAAAAATTTGTGCTCGAAATTTAAACATAATAGTATGACAGCCCAGAAACTCTTGAACAGTGGCGGCGCTGTCATCGGCTGTCGCGGATGTCCTCACGCCGTAGGGATCTTGCAAAAAGTTGTATATATTTTTCAAAACCTTGAATTCACTAACCAAAGAAGATATGATTTTGTTTGTCTCTTACCGAACTCACTCGACTTAATCAACGATATAAAGCAACTCATCCAGTATATTGAAGAATTAATTTATTGATTCATAATTTAGAAAAAGTATATCCGAATGTTTATATACATAGTAACCAGAATCATAATCCAGTTCCAGTCAGTACAGCTTCTGCTTAAATAACCCTCTCAAAGTTAAAATTCATTAAGACCAAGTGAGACTATCTACATTGGCAATTCTATCAATTAAAGCTAAATAGCAGCTGGTGTTAATTACGGAAATCCGTAATCTGTTGAGAAAAAGCTTTTCATTGAGTATTTTATTTGTAAGCACACAAAAAATTGATTTCACTGAACAAAAGGTTCATACATAAATTTGGTGGATTGGACGGCCAGTATTAGCGAACCATGAAATAAATGAAGATGTCACAGTTTCACATTTCTGCAGCATTCGACTCATTAGTCGGCTGGCGCTCTTTTCCAATTTTTTTATTGGTTAATTAATATTTAAATGAAAGCAATAAAAATATCATACTAAAATGTTGCAGTAAAATTTGGTCACCCTATATAATATTTACATTCAATGTAATACATTGTTAATGTATATGTTATATATATACATAAAAATTTATAATGAATAATATTTTGTAATAATAAGATACATTTAAGTAAATTAAGTAAATTTTCTTGTTATTTATTAGACCCTTTCAATTGACGAGCAGCCACCGAAAATTATTAAAAAATTACCGGAAAAAATCGAACCCAAAGAGGGTGAATTAGCGAAATTGGAAGTCAAGGTTATTGGTAAACCAAAACCAAAAGTCAAATGGCTACGTGACGACGAGGAGATATTTGCTTCTGAAGAATATCAAATCGAAAATTTCGACGATGGCACATCTGTATTAGTGATAAATCATGTTTATCCTGATGATGTGGGCACAATCAGCTTTGAGGCTTATAATCCACTAGGAGTAGCAGTTACAACAGCACTCTTCGCGGTAGAAGGTATATTTGCAACAATTTGGCTTACATCTTTTTTTTAGAGTGATTATTATAAAAAAGTTTTAAGCTTTTTAATATTTTTCAGCAGAAGAAATCGAAAAGTTTTTTTTTTTAGTTTGATATAACTTCCATATCCTGTATATAATCCTACCCTTACCAATGTCTAAAAAACACTTAAACAATTGACACCTATTTATATGAATTTATAGTATACATATGCATTTAGTGAAAGAAGGAAAAAATATTTATATATAAAATTTCTTTTAATTAAATTTTTTATATATAATAATTATTTTAATATAAAATTATTTACTGTGTAAAAGGCATCGTGGGATCCAAGGATTACCGAAAACCAGAATGGGTTACTCATATGGAAGAGATGCAAAAGGCTCTTAAAGGTAACTTTTTGCATAATATTTAGTGCAAAAATTTACACTAATTTGGTGTGATTTTCCTAAATAATATGTTTTCTATTGTCATAATATTTGTGTATATGTGTTTTAATTTCAATATAAAAAAGAAAGAATAACCGAAAATTCTTTTTTTAACTCGTAAATGTCTCCCAAAATACTATACTATATACAACTTTCTACTTTTCGTAAACAGTTTAATCAGTATTTAAATAAAATTTCTTTATTTTCTTCAAATATAATGAAAAACTGCAGATTTTTATATATATATATGTACTTATATATATAAAAATTTAAATAATATATTTAATAAGCTTTTAAATAATTATTTGAATTCTGCAATACCTTGCTCTATAGCCACCCTTTGACTATTCCATTCCCAAAGTAAATAAAAAAAAGGAAATCTAAAATGACGCCCTTAAGTATACGCCATTAAAATTATTAGTTTATTGTAATAAATCATAATTTAATAAAATAAATTACCTAAATATATATAATTTAAATAAATCAATTAACACAAAAATAACACTTTTACGGAAAAACATAAAAAACAAAATTTGATTTTTCCAAATTTTTTTTAGCTAAAAAATAGTTTTTTCTTTGAATTGGCAAGCTGCTTTTAATAATCCAAAGAAAATATTTTCATCTTTCTTACTTAAAATCCGCTTTGCTTATTTTTTAAATAAGACCTAAATAATGTATTGCATAATGCACTTGAATTTTTGTTGTATTTGTAGTGTTTTTAATGCATGCATAAGTTAAATTCTAATGCAAAAACAAATCCAAAACAGACAAATCTTTATAAACAAATGCTCAAACTATATACGCACATTCCAGTAAGTACAAATTTTATTTATACGCATACCAAAAACACTTTATTTTCAATTAACTAAAAATAAGTTATCAAACTAATTTTATTGTAGATAAATCTATACTAATACTAATGCTTAAAATTGCGTTTTTTTGCTTGTAGCGGCTAAATGCACTCCATCGTTAGTAAATGAAATGAGAGAGTGCCGTGCAGCCATAGGCGAAACTGCTAAATTTTCAATTCAATTTGCCGGAAATCCTCAGCCAGGTATTGTATCTATAATGGAGCAATAAGCTCAATACAAGAGTAACCAATAAACAACAGTACCGTAAACAGAACAAGCATCATGTATGGAAAAATTCCAATTTATCGGTCACCGAATTTTGCTAAATTTCAATATCCTGAACAACTTTTCCACACCCCTTCATATTTATATAGTTTGATTCTTAAGATATCGGCCTTTAAAGTTGTAAACTTTTTACATTGATCATCTAAAACTAAGGTACATACAGGTCCTTACAACAACTAATTTAGGTAATTTTTACGTATAGACGTGGTAGAAGTGCACCTTGCATCTTTCAAGACCGATATTTCGAGAATTAAGTTAAATCCAAGTCGAAAAAGGTGTTCAAGTGATTATAATTTAACAAAATTTTTTGACAAAATCGAAAATCAGAATCGTGTCCAATGACAATACTATATATGTACAGTTTGTAAATTATTTCCTCTTTACACTTACCAATTTCAATTCGAATTACATTAAATATTTCACTACGAATACAAGGAACTATATTCTTCTCGGAACTATACTATACTTCAACACTTAAGAAACAAATTAAACCTTAAACACACTTGCAAGAGATGACTTAAAGAATAAATAAAATCTAACTTCTTCAATTCGAAAAAATCATCTTTGCTTTTAGATATTCAATGGTACTTTGAAAATGTTCAACTTAGAGAATCCAACAAATATCGTATAAAAATTGAGGAAAGTTTTGCTTCTCTAGAAATTCTAAATGTCACAAGTGATGATTGTGGTTTCTATACCTGTAAATTAATTAATGAAATCGGTATGACTATGTCCAGAGCTAAGTTCGACATTTCAACAACATCAACGCAAGTAACAGAAACAGAGATCGAGCGTAAAATTAAAAGTAAAAAAAAAGCTGTAAAGAAAACTTTTGGCACATTATCAACCAAAAAAGCTAGTACCGCTCAGGATACCGTACGTAAAACTACGATTAAAATTGTACCTTCGGAATATGAAGAAACTTCCATGAGCATCATCAAAGTTCGCACGCCTGTTTCAATACTTGTAGAGAAGAGTGATGTGTCTGAAGTTAAAGAAGTAAAAGATCGCAAAATTGCCGATTCTGAGGAATCATCAGATGAACAGTATGAAGTTACAGAAGAAGAGAAAATTATTGAGGAAGTTACTCAAACTGAAGAAACTATTAATATAACGAAGACAATAAACATATTACATAGCAAAATCAGTCAAAAAAATGTTTCTTATACAGATATATTAATATTTAAAAATAGTAAAGAAGTAAACGGATTATTGACATCAATTGAAGCAAAGTCTTTTGGCACCATTGGTGAAGCGGCTCTATGTGACTTAGCAACAATAGGTTTTTTGTTGAAATATGGTTGCACTATCACTGAGATAATATACCTATATGAGCAAGATATTTTTATATCTTTGAAGAAACCTGAATCACAAGCGGCTTTAGTACAACTTGTTGAAAGAGAAGGTCATGATGAGTTAATTACCCATATACTTAGTGAGTCTACAACAGAAGACGAATCAGTTCTAGCAGCTACAGTTGGTTTTAAAGCATTCATACGTATGATAGAAACAACTAAAATAACCATTGAAACCGTTATTAAAAAGTTCCTCAGAGAAGATTTTATAACTCAGGATTGGAAAATATCTGGCAAAGAGGTTTGCATCTAAATTATATATGAATGTTTTTCGTTATTGTTCAGTATCTGTTCGTACAGAATATAACAGTTTTATAAAAAACATAGGTAGCTTTATGTTCAAATAAAAATAATAATTTATTTCTTTCAATTTCGTTAACTATAATCGCATAGTTGATACTGATCTGAGACTTTAATGGTCATTAATTGTAGCCGTCCGTCTAAATATTCTTTATTAGAATTTTAAACAATCATGAATTTGTCAAGTAATTAATGAATCAATTAATTAATTAATTAAGTAAATAATACTATAGGTATGATAGTATATGCCTATTGGCTTAATTTTTGATATTTCATTCCAAATACTGCCAAAAATACTTTTAAATATATGTATATTATTTGAATTTTAAATTTCTGTTTTATCAATTAAGCAATTTGTTTTAAACAATAAAACAGCACTAGAGAATTTAATTGAGCTATTACATTTTTCGATACTTAAAAATATTAATTTTTTGCATATAACTTAAAATTTTTATTTTTTTTCATTAGATAAAAAATATATATTATTTAGAGAGTAATTATCCCATTTATGTGAACTATTTAATGTGAATTTTATTAACTATAATGCTATAAAATTACTCATATCTTATTTTTGGCAATTTTTTCAAATCACATATAATTTAGAAAATTAATACTTTGTAATAATGTGTACTTAGGTTAGGTTAGGATATAGCGACGATCCCAAAGTAACCACTTTGGCCTACAGGCCCTTTATTAACCTTTGGCATAATATGTACTTAAGTTAAAGAAAAATTATATCTAAAAAGACTTAGAATATTTATCCTAATTTTAAAACAATTTCACTTACCTCTTTTTATGTTTAACATGTTTGTGCCTGAAATACAAAAAAAAAATTTATTTAAATAATATTAAATTGATAGTTTTATAAAAATTATATATTTATATATCATTTCTTTCATATACAAAATATGCAATATAAAATTGGGAAAAATGTTTAGAGGATTATAGAAACTTCACAAATAATTGAAAGTCATGAAGCGGTAACACATATAAAAATTGGTAAGATAAATTACTCAAAGAATGTTGCAAAAAAAATTTGGTTATAAAAAATTATATGCTTTAAAATATTTTTTACCATTATTAATTATTATGCTTTTATAATTATTTTTATTGCTTAAATGCTTGCTTGCTGGCTTGCCTTTTATCATCAAAACAACGATCCAAATTTGTAGAGGAAACATTCATCGAGGAACGCACACTAACTGTCGAAGAAGGTTTGAGCATAGATACAGACCAATTGTAAAAATTGACCCAACCCAAAAATATAAAATATGTTTTTTATATAAAATAGACTAATAATATTTAAATTATATAAACAATTATATTTGAAAAAATTAAAATAATAATATAATTAAAATTAAATAATATAAATATGTTGAATTTGAAAAATAAAATAAATATATTATAATATTAATAAAAATATAAATAATATATTTTTTTTTAAATTAACTAATATTCACAGCGTAAAAACTACTACGAAAGCAACAATATCAAAAATTACTACAATGTTAGCCTCTACAATCCTATCTACCACTGTTATTACTACTACTACTACTATTACTACTACTAGAACTACTACTGTTATTGCCACTACTATTATTATTGCTACTACTTCAATTACAGCGCTTTAGTTATCTGTTGTCATATAAGCTTAAGAAATTAATACATAACAAATAAGTTGAAAATATTAAATTTCATTAAATATTTCAAAAAATTGTTAAGCAAATAAATTCTTATTTTTTATACAAGTTTTATAAGGCTTTTTTAGTCGCAAAAATTTTTATTTGCCCGCATATAAAATTATTGTATTTGGATCAAAACGGAATTTCAGGTAAGAAATTTTTTAAATTCAGAAAAAAAAAATTATTAAAAATAAATATATATTTGTCTGTTTCGAATTTATTGTACAGATACCTTGCTTAATTATTTGTTTGATGGCAGTTGTTTCAATATGACACTCTTTTGAGAGATTAAAAAGAGTTTTAAAAAATTATATATAAATTAATTATTAATAAAAAAAAAACATTTATATTATACTATATAATATAGTTGTCGAATATGAAAATATTTAAATCTTATACCATGGTATGAATTAAATTTAAAACAATAAATTTAATTTCATCAATTAAATTAATGGTATCATGCAATGTTCACAAAAAGTTAAAGATAGTAAAGTACAAATATTTTCAATACTTTTTTATATACTCTTCCACAACAAAATCAATTAATTAATTTTTAAAAACAAAGAATGGTTTTTTATATATTTTTAATTTGGCTGTAGGTTCCTTCTTGTTAAATAATTAAACGTTTATAATAAAATATATTAAAATGGACTACTGCCAATTTAAAAATATATAAAAAAACATTTTAATAAAGAAGTCGAAAAATAAATTTAAAAAATTTTATACTATAAACAATAAAATGAATACTCTTACACCAAAGAAAATATGTGCAAAACGCATATTTACTCTAAGAGATTAATAGTAAATTATAGAAATATCGAGATTAAAGTACAAATATATTACAATAATAAATATACCAAATTAATATATCATATACCAAATAAAAATGATATCCCCCTTTAGTTGAGAATGATAAAAAATCTCGTTTAAATAGTGATTATATTTTTAGGCAACCTAAAAGGAATACATTAATATAAGCTTAAATGCCTTATTGATTTGTTTACAAAATAAATTTTTTTGAAAAAAAAATTCATGGGTTCATATATTGTATAATTTCTATATAAAAGTAATTCTCTTCCGTTAGTAAAGTAAAAAAAATAGTCTCTTATTCTTATTAATCTTATTTCTGTAATCTCAATGTGTAAACATGGTATAATGCTATGTCATTTTGATATTCGAGAATACTTGTACTCGAGCATTTGGCTCTGCTACAGCAAGCTGCTCAGAAATATCCAAATACCATATTATGTTGAAACAGTTGCTATTTACTCTTTTCACACGGCAAAAATGAATCTACAACAACGGATCAACTATTTAAAATTGTTACTAACGTACATATATTCGTTATTCTCAAACTGTCTTACAACCGAAACATTTATCTGAATCATTCTAACTAATGGGAAACCATTCGTCTGTATTTAATTTTTTTATATCTGGTTCCGAAATACATACATACGAATATATGGGAAAAAGTAAGGTTCAGAATAATGTTAATTAAATGAGCATTTATTTTGCATTTCTTTATGTGCAAGCTTTATATGCACATACATACAGTGACTCCAGCGCATAATCGGACAATAATTTGTTCGACATAAATGTGCTCTAAACTTTAAAACATTTATATCGAGGAAATTATTGTCCGATTATGCGATGGAGCTACTGCATGTATTTATATGTGAAAAGCGTATTATACGTATTTGTAAAAAATAAAATAAAAATAAAATAAAAAATAAAAAGAATAATAGCAAATTTGCTGTCGAGTAGCTTAAGTATTTTCAGATAAGTATACCATTTTAACTATTTAATCCAAATGTTTGAATTCAAGTATGCAACTCCGATATTATAATCCTTGAACATTTTAATACACTACATAAAAGTAATAGTTTGATTTATTTGTACTGAAAGTTGATCAATTTTAAAGATTTTGCATATAAGAGAACTAAAAGGTCATTATTCGCATTTATAATAATATAATTGTTTATAAAATATATAATTTTTTAAAATTCAAAAATTAGTGAATGGGTGTTTAGACCAAACTAAATGAAATATTAGCTTTGTACAGAATTTGTTGCTAATGTATATGGTTTATTTAACAATAACAAATTAATAAAAGCTTGGAAAAAGTAGACAATATTTTTATTTAATTACATTACATTCACAGAAACAACAGCAACTATTACATCCACTAATGTGGAACAACAATCACATGTACTACAAGTACAAAAGCAACAGGTACAATTACAGGAACAATTTGCACAGAAACAAATTACACAGGAAGTAGAGTATGATGTGCTTAAAAAGGATAAGAAACAAAAGAAAAAGAAACAATTACAAATACAACAAAAACAAGTACAAGAACAACAAATTTTAATCGAAGACCAACATATAATGCTTACTAAACAAGTTGAACAAACTGTAAAAGAAAATATACCTAAAGAAGACCTTGAAACATTTACGGATGAATTAATTGAAAAAATACCAGATACAATACCAACTTTAGAAACACTGGATATACATTTACATTCAAAGGACATCGTCGAAACTAGTGAGTTAGGCATAGTAGCGCAACTATCCACAGAAAGTAGGCAGAGTGTTCAAGCCCAAAAAGAAATCGTAGCTGTAAAGAATGTTGCAACACAAGAAATGTTAGAAACGCTCGATATTGAAAGTACATTGAAATTGTCAAAACAAATTCCCAGTGAGACATGTGATTTAGTGTCAACTGAGAAAAAAATGAAATCAATTGAAACTGAAGAAATAAATGTCGAGCACAGTATTAAAGATATCACATCAAGTCCATTGCCCTTCAACGTTACCGCAATTGAAAGCATTAACGAACAAAAATCAATAATTGTTGCTCATCAAAGACCAATGGAGGCAATTGATAGAATTGAAACCACAAAACCAGTAGAAAAATATGCCAGTGCTGAAGTAATTCCACTTCACCCTCAGGAACAAACACTAATAATAACAGCTGAAATACCAAAAGAACTACAAAAAGACAATATTGCAAATATGATAGAAAGCACAGTTTCTGATTTTACTGAACTCAAGAATTTTGTTGTGGAAGAAACCATAAGCAACGAAACTGTTGCAGATCATGTAGTAAATAAATTACCTACAAAACTGAAAATCACTTCAAATCTTGTGCCCACAGAAGCAAGTATCGAAATATCAGAAGTAGAAACCCAATTTCCCTCTGAACCACTCGCCGTTAAAACGCCGCTAAAACATACAGAAACTGCAATTTCAGATATTATTGACAATCACGCTTATTCCTCACAGGAAGTGTATGCAATTGATGAAGCAAATGCTCTACCAGACCAACTAACTCCAAAACCAATACAGGCAATCACGGATGTGGTACAAGAATTAATACCAATACAAGTTACTGAAGAAATACTTGGTGAATCACAACCAATTGAAAAAATTATTAAACCAATTTCTACAGTTCAAGCATCTGATACTTTAGTTTTACTAGAGAGTTTAGTTACTCAAATACCAGATACGCAAATTCAATTGCAAGAAAAAATGCCAGATATACATGAAGATAAAAAATATGCTTCGATGGACTTAAGAGAACATAACTATTTAATCACAAGTGAAACAAAAGTTGAGGAAATTAATCCAGAACATCTGCAATTAAAAGATGTATTAAAATTCAAAGCCAATAAAATTAATCAGATAACTCCGTTCTTAACACAGGAAGTGTCTGAAACCCATATGGAAGATCACGTTGATAGCTTATTAAATAATCAATTAGTTAAACCGCAATCAATTCAGGAAGTTTTATCTACACCTAATACTGTGTCCATAACTTCGCAGATGGTACCGCTTGATACAGCCGCACAATTTAATCAAGAAACACCACAATCGCAAAACATTAAGAGGACCTTATCGAATGTACAAACAGTGGCTAATATTAGTGAAACACAATTTCAAGATAAAGAACAGAATTTAGATTTCAAAACACCTTTAAGCGTTTCAGCTAATTCAGAAATAATAGAACAAATTACTTGTATTGTGAAAGAGAATCAACCATTAGAATTACTAAATCAATTAAATTTTGTTGAAAAACCAAATATACAAGAAGCAGATCAAGTAACTATTTTCACAGACCTTAAAGCACCAAACATTTCTGAAGTGAATACCGAAAGTAGCACAAAACCAATAACAGCTGAAGATATGAATTTATTAACCGCAAATCGTGTCGTAAGTTCTATACCTACAAGCGTGAAAACCGAAAACGTTATTCTAGAAAGTAATAATTTGGTTGAATTATTCACAAAACCGGATGAAAAAACAATAAAGCCTTTTATTGATGACATCATCATACCATTAGAAAGAGTGGAAGTGCAGTTAGCAGAAACTGAAAAAACAATAAAAGACACACCAGAAATAAAAGAAGAAATTAATTTACTACCAACTTCTAGTACTCACAGGTCATTACAAGGTACAACATATTTACCTCTTGATACAGTTTCCCACATACCATTTCAGCCAACACCAAGCAAAGTATTTGCTGAAATCGATATTTCATCCCAAAGCGGTACCGAAATTTTCTATCAAAAACCGCTAGACAACACTTTTCTTTTAAAACCTACTACAATGCCTGAAACTCAAAAGGTTAGTACCGAATTAGAGGTTTCTATACCAATAGAAGTTATGACACCTGTATGTAATGAAAAGGAAGATATAATTGCTACAGAGCAACTTCAGTTGAAAGAAGTAACTATTCTCAATCAAAACCCACTTGCAGTGGCCAACACCAATATTGAACAATTAGTGGATTCAGTTTCGGACATAAAACTTCATAAAGAAATTGAACAAAATGCCAGTTTTAATGTTAATCCAATATTGCCAACAATATGTGACGAAGTAATCCCCTTAGATGCAGTAAATAAATATGATTGTAAAATAACGCCTTCAAATAAAATGCCCACGGTTGAATTAATGGAAAGTAGTCATGCACTTGAAGTTTTGTCAATAGTGCCAAATGAAACAGAGGACAAAATTTTCTTGCAACAAAAAGAACAAGGAAAAGTAGAGCTCAGAATTAATGACACTACTCATAAATCTCTTTTAGTAAATAAAGTGGATATACATGATACTGTAGATAAATTGGAAAGTCCTCAATTCGTCCAACAACATGGCAAAGCAATAACTAGTACATTGGATCAAATATCAGTTCAGCAAACAAATGTTTTTGAAAAAGAAAATACTATTCAGATTTTGGAAAGACCACAAGAACAATCTGCGGAATTGCAAATAAGTGATCTTGGCAAAGGAGCAGTTGTTATAAACGAGAAAAATATTTTTGAAATAGAACAAGAACTGCACGTTTCGACAATAAAAGAAAGCCATGTTAATTTATCAAATACAGATCTGTTAAAAGTACCTGTTGTTGAGCAAATAAATGATGAACAAAATCTTGATAAGATAGAAAAATTCAAGTTCACAGACGCAATAGCATCCAGTATATGTGATAACTTGTTTGGTACTATTATTACTGAAACCCAAGCGTTTGAAGAATTGAACACTCCTAAACAGACAATCAATAAATTTGAGTTACCGGTTGATAGTACCATCGTCACAAACGAACACTCAACTATAGACACAATAAACACTATCTTAGAAAAAACTGATTCATTCAATACTAAACCTTTAAGCAATGCCTGGGTGCAACAAAAAATAATACCTGATCTCAAAAACGTGGCCGTTCACGATGAAACAAGTATACTAGATAATACAGCTAAACTCGCGCAATTAGTTTCAAATAGTCTTATAGCGAAAACATCATCAACTAAGATACCACATACGTTACACATAACTAGCGAGACGCAAACATTTGAGAATGTTGATGCTGCACCTGTAGATGTCTTACTACAATCCCATCAGGCTAATATTGATCATGAGTTAAAACACGTGCACACAACACTTGAAAACCAAGCTGTAGAACTTGAAAAAGCGTTTACATCACCAGAGCATACATTGTTCACAGCCACTGAAACTGCAAATGCTCCTAAATTTGGAATTCCTTTACTGCAAGAAACAAATATAGAGGAACCAACAAATATTGTGCCCGAATTTGAAGTTAAAAAATTTATAACCAAACCGTTTATGGAAGGTCAACAACACGAAGTTATCACATCGGAAATTCAGTTAATTGAAGAATTGGAAAAACTAACTGCTAAGGAATATATTACAACCAAAGCTAAATCTGATATTGTAGACACGTTTAAGCCATCCCACGAGGAAAATGTTACCAATATTTTAATGAAAGAAGAAAATATAAACCCTTTCAAACCAAATTCTGAAACAGCAAAAATTTTTTCGGAAGGACTGTTTCAAGAAACATTAGTAACTGATGTCATACCATATGGTAATCTAGATATTATAAAGCCGTTACCTCTTTTAGAAAATAAGGGTAATATTAGCTTTAGTGAAAATGTTAAACAGGCTCATATACAAAATGAGATTATAACATTACAAAAAGAAAACTTATTTAAGGAAATTACACCGAATAAGTTTGCAAAACCTATTATTGACGGTACACAACATGGAATGAATACGACTGAAATAACTTCGCTAGAATATGCAACCAACATTAACGATGACTTCACTTTAGAAGCAAAAGAAGCTCAGTCTGGTGTCCAAGACGTAGTGAAACAAGTACAAACTGTTGGCGTTCAACTCTTTTTGGATAAGGAATCGAATTTAATATTAGAAAATACTCCATCACATAAAGTAAAATTAAATGTTGAACATACAAACGTAGACAAAACAATCTCTCAAGTAACTGCATATGAGAATATAAAAGAATTAAACACAATTGAAGAAATTAAGAAACAACAAGCCTCTATTAAAAAGGATATAACTTCAAATCAAGCAAAACTAATATCAAATGAACCAGTTTATATAAAAGAAGAATTAATAACTCCTCAAGAAATGCTTAATGTAAAAGCAGTATCCTCTCATGAAAAACATGAAGCAATAGTAAATGAAGAGAGATTGTCTTTATATGCAATCACCGAAAACTACAACTTAACACAAAGACAAGAACTACATGCAAACTTAGCACCTAACACTACAGAAAAAACTGTTGCTATTTCCGAAATATATGCTATTGAAAATACAGATTCTCTTAAAGAAAATGATATAAATACAATTGCTTTAAAGGCAAGCATTACTGACAATGAACTCAAATCGGTCGAAAGCAGTTACATCCAAAGTTTTGAAGCTGTTCAGGAAGTAGAAGACAGTAAATCATATGAAGGAATTAATGTAAAATCATATTGCGTATTATCTGAACATAAAGCACCTACAATTGAGACAGTTTTGTCTGTTCCAAGCTTAGATTATGTTGAATCCCCAATTGTAAAAGAGAAAACAATTAAGGCGACAACTGAATTAAGTGAAAACTATATTGTAACAGAAGCAACAATGTTTGAAGGCGTTAAAACTTTGCAAACTCCTGACGAAATACTCCAAAAAGTTAATATTGAACTTGAAGATACTGTACTAGCAGCTGTTACAAATGAGATTCTACCTTCAGGTAATATTGAAAAAATGGAATCATCAAAGCCATTAAAACAAACAGCGCTCATAAACACAACTAGCCACAGCACAAGCATACAAGAAGAAATTCTTTTAGGCGATACCACCGATAACTTCAGTAGTCAACACTTTCCACAGATTCACTCTGCCACTTTAAGTGTAACTGCACATAATGCAGTAGATTCGAATGAAATCAGGGCATATGAAAACACTAATAAACACATAAGTAATGAAAACTGCCAACTCACAACACTAGAACCAACTCAAGCATTAGAATATGGAGATATGAAAACACCAACACATTTTATACAAGAAACAATAGAAAGCACAGACACAGTTAAACTATTAAAAACTAATAAAAACTATGCTGCTTCAAACTATGAACCAAAAATTTCTAGAAGTGAAACAGAAACTATTACACTAGAAAGCGAAAAACCACTACTGGATAGTGAACTACAAACTAAAAACAAACAAATTAACGAAGATGCTTTAGAGCGAAATATAACACTGCAACAAATTACTTTACCATTCGACAAAGAAACATTTTTAAAGCCAGCAACAATACCCACACTACATAATGCTTCAGAATTTTTACAAGAAACAGTAATAACGCAAGTATCAGTAGAAGAAAAACAGGACTCTACACCGATATCAAAACACATGGTAAAATTAGTATCCGGTAAGTAAAAAAAAACTCAATAAGAGCAGGATTTATTTATGGCGTTATACTTACCTTACCCACTCGGTTCCCTAAACAAAAACACATATTACACAATCTTACCCTCTTACACAGATTTATTACAAAACTAACAAACATTCTTTTGCACAGATACAACACAAACTCACACTTCAGAACACAAGCCACACAACCAAACCCAAATAAATACCAAAGAATGTGAAAACAAAATACCAGAAGAAAGAAACAAAGATCTAGAACACATAAAAGAAATTCCTGAGGAGGTTCGAATAATTGAATCAATCGCAGAAGATGGTAAACCGAAAAAGAAAACTATTCGTACTCGTGTCATTAAGAAGGTTAAAGGTGACAAACAAGAAGTTACGAAAATTGAAACCGTTCAAGAAGATGACAAACAACCTGAAACTACAGTTACGGTTGAAGAAATTCCTGCTGAAGAGGAAAGACCAGAACAAATACAAGAAGTTCCGGAAGAAGTTCGTGTTATTGAATCAATCGCAGAAGATGGTAAACCGAAAAAGAAAACTATTCGTACTCGTGTCATTAAGAAAGTTAAGGGTGACAAACAAGAAGTTACGAAAATTGAAACTGTTCAAGAAGATGACAAACAACCTGAAACAACAGTTACGGTTGAGGAAAGTCCTGCTGAAAAAGAAAAACCAGAACAAATACAAGAAGTTCCGGAAGAAGTTCGTATTATTGAATCAATCGCAGAAGACGGTAAACCGAAGAAGAAAACTATTCGTACTCGTGTCATTAAGAAAGTTAAGGGTGGCAAACAAGAAGTTACGAAAATTGAAACTGTTCAAGAAGATGACAAACAACCTGAAACAACAGTTACAGTTGAACAGAGTCCTGCTGAAGAAGAACAGCCAGAACAAATACAAGAAGTTCCGGAAGAAGTTCGTGTTATTGAATCCATCGCAGAAGATGGTAAACCGAAAAAGAAAACTATTCGTACTCGTGTCATTAAGAAAGTTAAGGGTGACAAACAAGAAGTTACGAAAATTGAAACTGTTCAAGAAGATGACAAACAACCTGAAACAACAGTTACAGTTGAAGAAACTCCTGCTGAAGAGGAAAAACCAGAACAAATACAAGAAGTTCCGGAAGAAGTTCGTGTTATTGAATCCATCGCAGAAGATGGTAAACCGAAAAAGAAAACTATTCGTACTCGTGTCATTAAGAAAGTTAAGGGTGGCAAACAAGAAGTTACGAAAATTGAAACTGTTCAAGAAGATGACAAACAACCTGAAACTACAGTTACGGTTGAAGAAATACCAGCCGAGGAAGAACTACCAGAACAAATACAAGAAGTTCCGGAAGAAGTTCGTGTTATTGAATCAATCGCAGAAGATGGTAAACCGAAAAAGAGAACTATTCGTACTCGTGTCATTAAGAAAGTTAAGGGTGGCAAACAAGAAGTTACAAAAATTGAAACTGTTCAAGAAGATGACAAACAACCTGAAACAACAGTTACAGTTGAACAGAGTCCTGCTGAAGAAGAAAAACCAGAACAAATACAAGAAGTTCCGGAAGAAGTTCGTGTTATTGAATCCATCGCAGAAGATGGTAAACCGAAAAAGAAAACTATTCGTACTCGTGTCATTAAGAAAGTTAAGGGTGACAAACAAGAAGTTACGAAAATTGAAACTGTTCAAGAAGATGACAAACAACCTGAAACAACAGTTACGGTTGAAGAAAGCCCTGTTGAAGAAGAACAGCCAGAACAAATACAAGAAGTTCCGGAAGAAGTTCGTGTTATTGAATCAATTGCAGAAGATGGTAAACCGAAAAAGAAAACTATTCGAACTCGTGTCATTAAGAAAGTTAAGGGTGACAAACAAGAAGTTACGAAAATTGAAACTGTTCAAGAAGATGACAAACAACCTGAAACAACAGTTACTGTTGAAGAAAGCCCTGTTGAAGAAGAAAAACCAGAACAAATACAAGAAGTTCCGGAAGAAGTTCGTGTTATTGAATCCATCGCAGAAGATGGTCAACCGAAAAAGAAAACAATTCGTACTCGTGTCATTAAGAAAGTTAAGGGTGACAAACAAGAAGTTACGAAAATTGAAACTGTTCAAGAAGACGACAAACAACCTGAAACTACAGTTACTGTTGAAGAAAGTCCTGCTGAACAGGAAAAACCAGAACAAATACAAGAAGTTCCGGAAGAAGTTCGTGTTATTGAATCAATCGCAGAAGATGGTAAACCGAAAAAGAAAACTATTCGTACTCGCGTCATTAAGAAAGTTAAAGGTGACAAACAAGAAGTTACGAAGATTGAAACTGTTCAAGAAGATGACAAACAACCTGAAACCACAGTTACAGTTGAAGAAAGCCCTGTTGAAGAGGAAAAACCAGAACAAATACAAGAAGTTCCGGAAGAAGTTCGTGTTATTGAATCAATCGCAGAAGATGGTAAACCGAAAAAGAAAACTATTCGTATTCGCGTCATCAAGAAAGTTAAGGGTGACAAACAAGAAGTTACGAAGATTGAAACTGTTCAAGAAGATGACAAACAACCTGAAACAACAGTTACGGTTGAAGAAAGTCCTGCTGAAGAGGAAAAACCAGAACAAATACAAGAAGTTCCGGAAGAAGTTCGTATTATTGAATCAATCGCAGAAGACGGCAAACCGAAAAAGAAAACTATTCGTACTCGTGTCATTAAGAAAGTTAAGGGTGACAAACAAGAAGTTACGAAAATTGAAACTGTTCAAGAAGATGACAAACAACCTGAAACAACAGTTACGGTTGAGGAAAGTCCTGCTGAAGAAGAAAAACCAGAACAAATACAAGAAGTTCCGGAAGAAGTTCGTATTATTGAATCAATCGCAGAAGACGGTAAACCGAAAAAGAAAACTATTCGTACTCGTGTCATTAAGAAAGTTAAGGGTGACAAACAAGAAGTTACGAAAATTGAAACTGTTCAAGAAGATGACAAACAACCTGAAACAACAGTTACGGTTGAAGAAAGTCCTGCTGAAGAAGAAAAACCAGAACAAATACAAGAAGTTCCGGAAGAAGTTCGTGTTATTGAATCAATCGCAGAAGATGGTAAACCGAAAAAGAAAACTATTCGTACTCGTGTCATTAAGAAAGTTAAGGGTGACAAACAAGAAGTTACGAAAATTGAAACTGTTCAAGAAGATGACAAACAACCTGAAACTACAGTTACGGTTGAAGAAATTCCTGCTGAAGAAGAAAAACCAGAACAAATACAAGAAGTTCCGGAAGAAGTTCGTGTTATTGAATCAATTGCAGAAGATGGTAAACCGAAAAAGAAAACTATTCGTACTCGTGTCATTAAGAAAGTTAAGGGTGACAAACAAGAAGTTACGAAAATTGAAACTGTTCAAGAAGATGACAAACAACCTGAAACTACAGTTACGGTTGAAGAAAGTCCTGCTGAAGAGGAAAAACCAGAACAAATACAAGAAGTTCCGGAAGAAGTTCGTGTTATTGAATCAATTGCAGAAGATGGTAAACCGAAAAAGAAAACTATTCGTACTCGTGTCATTAAGAAAGTTAAGGGTGACAAACAAGAAGTTACGAAAATTGAAACTGTTCAAGAAGATGACAAACAACCTGAAACAACAGTTACGGTTGAAGAAAGTCCTGCTGAAGAGGAAAAACCAGAACAAATACAAGAAGTTCCGGAAGAAGTTCGTGTTATTGAATCAATCGCAGAAGATGGTAAACCGAAAAAGAAAACTATTCGTACTCGTGTCATTAAGAAAGTTAAGGGTGGCAAACAAGAAGTTACGAAAATTGAAACTGTTCAAGAAGATGACAAACAACCTGAAACAACAGTTACGGTTGAGGAAAGTCCTGCTGAAAAAGAAAAACCAGAACAAATACAAGAAGTTCCGGAAGAAGTTCGTATTATTGAATCAATCGCAGAAGACGGTAAACCGAAGAAGAAAACTATTCGTACTCGTGTCATTAAGAAAGTTAAGGGTGGCAAACAAGAAGTTACGAAAATTGAAACTGTTCAAGAAGATGACAAACAACCTGAAACAACAGTTACAGTTGAACAGAGTCCTGCTGAAGAAGAACAGCCAGAACAAATACAAGAAGTTCCGGAAGAAGTTCGTGTTATTGAATCCATCGCAGAAGATGGTAAACCGAAAAAGAAAACTATTCGTACTCGTGTCATTAAGAAAGTTAAGGGTGACAAACAAGAAGTTACGAAAATTGAAACTGTTCAAGAAGATGACAAACAACCTGAAACAACAGTTACAGTTGAAGAAACTCCTGCTGAAGAGGAAAAACCAGAACAAATACAAGAAGTTCCGGAAGAAGTTCGTGTTATTGAATCCATCGCAGAAGATGGTAAACCGAAAAAGAAAACTATTCGTACTCGTGTCATTAAGAAAGTTAAGGGTGGCAAACAAGAAGTTACGAAAATTGAAACTGTTCAAGAAGATGACAAACAACCTGAAACTACAGTTACGGTTGAAGAAATACCAGCCGAGGAAGAACTACCAGAACAAATACAAGAAGTTCCGGAAGAAGTTCGTGTTATTGAATCAATCGCAGAAGATGGTAAACCGAAAAAGAGAACTATTCGTACTCGTGTCATTAAGAAAGTTAAGGGTGGCAAACAAGAAGTTACAAAAATTGAAACTGTTCAAGAAGATGACAAACAACCTGAAACAACAGTTACAGTTGAACAGAGTCCTGCTGAAGAAGAAAAACCAGAACAAATACAAGAAGTTCCGGAAGAAGTTCGTGTTATTGAATCCATCGCAGAAGATGGTAAACCGAAAAAGAAAACTATTCGTACTCGTGTCATTAAGAAAGTTAAGGGTGACAAACAAGAAGTTACGAAAATTGAAACTGTTCAAGAAGATGACAAACAACCTGAAACAACAGTTACAGTTGAAGAAACTCCTGCTGAAGAGGAAAAACCAGAACAAATACAAGAAGTTCCGGAAGAAGTTCGTGTTATTGAATCAATCGCAGAAGATGGTAAACCGAAAAAGAAAACTATTCGTACTCGTGTCATCAAGAAAGTTAAGGGTGACAAACAAGAAGTTACGAAAATTGAAACTGTTCAAGAAGATGACAAACAACCTGAAACAACAGTTACAGTTGAAGAAATACCAGTCGAGGAAGAACTACCAGAACAAATACAAGAAGTTCCGGAAGAAGTTCGTGTTATTGAATCCATCGCAGAAGATGGTACACCCAAAAAGAAAACTAATCGTACTCGTGTCATCAAGAAAGTCAAGGGTGACAAACAAGAAGTTACGAAAATTGAAACTGTTCAAGAAGATGACAAACAACCTGAAACAACAGTTACGGTTGAAGAAAGTCCTGTTGAAGAAGAAAAACCAGAACAAATACAAGAAGTTCCGGAAGAAGTTCGTATTATTGAATCAATTGCGGAAGATGGTACACCGAAAAAGAAAACTATTCGTACTCGTGTCATTAAGAAAGTTAAGGGTGACAAACAAGAAGTTACGAAAATTGAAACTGTTCAAGAAGATGACAAACAACCTGAAACAACAGTTACAGTTGAAGAAAGCCCCGTTGAAGAAGAAAAACCAGAACAAATACAAGAAGTTCCGGAAGAAGTTCGAGTTATTGAATCAATTGCGGAAGATGGTAAACCGAAAAAGAAAACTATTCGTACTCGTGTCATTAAGAAGGTTAAGGGTGACAAACAAGAAGTTACGAAAATTGAAACTATTCAAGAAGATGACAAACAACCTGAGACCACAGTAACGGTTGAAGAAATTCCTGCTGAAGAAGAACAGCCAGAACAAATACAAGAAGTTCCGGAAGAAGTTCGTGTTATTGAATCAATCGCGGAAGATGGTAAACCGAAAAAGAAAACTATTCGTACTCGTGTCATTAAGAAAGTTAAGGGTGACAAACAAGAAGTTACGAAAATTGAAACTGTTCAAGAAGATGACAAACAACCTGAAACAACAGTTACGGTTGAAGAAATTCCTGCTGAAGAAGGAAACGAAACAAATACAACAAGAAGTTCCGGAAGAAGTTCGTGTTATTGAATCAATTGCAGAAGATGGTACACCCAAAAAGAAAACTATTCGTACTCGCGTCATTAAGAAAGTTAAGGGTGACAAACAAGAAGTTACGAAAATTGAAACTGTTCAAGAAGATGACAAACAACCTGAAACAACAGTTACGGTTGAAGAAATACCTGCTGAAGAAGAAAAACCGGAACAAATACAAGAAGTTCCGGAAGAAGTTCGTGTTATTGAATCAATTGCAGAAGATGGTACACCCAAAAAGAAAACTATTCGTACTCGTGTCATCAAGAAAGTCAAGGGTGACAAACAAGAAGTTACGAAAATTGAAACTGTTCAAGAAGATGACAAACAACCTGAAACAACAGTTACGGTTAAAGAAAGTCCTGCTGAAGAAGATAAACCAGAACAAATACAAGAAGTTCCGGAAGAAGTTCGTGTTATTGAATCAATTGCAGAAGATGGTA